AAGTCAAGGAATTTTGAGATCCTTTAGTTCAAATTCTCCCACCCTTTCCTAACAAGCACTTGCCTTTCAGGTAATGAAGGTCCAGGAGGGCCAGCTGTTTGACATGACAAGTGTTTTAAGGCAGAGCCTGCCTTGGAGTCCCGATTGCCTGATCGCAGCGCCGGGTGCTCTGCACCTCACAGACACGGCCCTGGAAGTCAAGACAAGGGCACAAACGGCCGTGGAGCAGCCCAGCAGGTAAGAGCACTTCCTCTGCACCCTCATTTACTTAGTAAGCCTACGAGACACTCACTTACCCCTTGTGCCTCAATTTCCCCAAACATAAGTCAGGACAGAGTACATAGCCCATTGGGTTGTTGGAGGCGGAAATGAGCTGATAGTGTCTGGCCTCTAATGGGCATTACGAGTTAGCTACCATTATGAAATTTACAGAGCACCTACTATGTGTCAGACATTGAGTGCTTTATATATTTCATCAGATTTAATCCTTGTAACTATGCTACAAAGTGAATGTTCTCCCCATTCTGTAAATAAGCCTGCAAAAGGTCATGTATACTGTGGGTGGGCGCTGGGAACAAAGTTTGATCAGTGCCACCTCTTGTCCAAGTTCAGTTGAGGAAGGCGTCCATGCACAATTAAGTTATCATGCTACAAACATGACCCAACCTGATATGCTAGCAAGAATCAGCAGAAGTAACTGCCAGGTAACTTGGTGTTCATCTTAAGCACTTAGAGGAGCTTTAGGGGGTGTGACTGACACTGTTCCTGCTTCAAGGGAAATTTGCCAGTCATTCCTGGCCTTTGGAGTGTTTTTGAGTGGTGGTGGCTGGTAGAGGAAGTGCTTGGAACAATCTATATGCAAACACCAGGGCTATTATACCAGTGGTTATGTGCCTTTTCTGCCCTGGCTATTTCATTTCTTAAGTTCTGAAGTCTTAAAGTTAATGGAATACTCCCTTGATGCTCAATTTATCAAGACACCTGGAAATAATAAAAACCTTTGCAGATCAAAACTCAGTGTTTAACTGAGGATATCTGGGCACATTTAAAATGCTGGATGTAGGTGAGTTGCTGCTTCTTGAATTTGTCTGAGATAGGCAGGTGCCTGAAGCATCACTCTAAAAGTCCTGAGGTTCTATCTCTGGAAATGTTCCTCCATGTTATGGGACCTCATGTTAAGTCCAGGGTCCCTATCATTTTATACAATTTACTAAGGTCATTGCCCTTGGCTCAGGAGAGAAGCACCTGTGGGGGCAGGAAGTGGTACAGGAGAGAAACATTAATTTGAAGTTAGCCTGGCCTTCATCATTGGCAAGTTTGTGGCATTTAACCCTTCTAAACCCTGAGGTTCCTGATCTGTAAAATAAGAAAGAGGATGACCTGATACCCTTCATAATTGTGCTGACCAATGAGCACAGAGGAAAGTACAAAGGAACCTGCAAAGTACCATCAGTGTTTTTAAGATGTTTATAACAAATTAAAAATTGCAATGGCTGAAAAAGAAGACTGCTCAAGTTATGTTTATGGCCAGGTGCCTGCATTCTCTAAGGTTGTGGACACAGGCTTACTATCTCAATCGTTCTCTGTCTTGCCTTCAATTTTCTCTAAATTAGGTCAGCGGGAAGTAACATCTCCTTGCGTGCATTGTCCTCGTTCCCCACCAGGTGGTGCTGCTTCCCAAACAGCAATTTCTGGCTGAGACCTCTTTCAGTAGATCAAGTTGGAGCTGCAAGAGAAAAAAGAAAAACAATGAGAAACTAGTCAACGTCCCACCTCATTCCACCCCAGCCTCCCAGTTTCAGGTATCAAAACAGGGTCTTGAAGATAAAGAGCTCTGGTGACCGAGGCCCAGTCGCTGCAGTGGACGTGTGACTGCAGGAAGGAAGGGACCTTCGACACCCTCACCTGTGATGTGCCCCCTTTTCCAGAGCAGGAACGAGGAAACCTAAAGTCCCTGTGCTTTCAAAGTGGTTAAACATTTATATGCACACAGAGTTCGGGCAATGTGTACCCATGCTCCAATCTAGAGGGTTCATATATTTCAAAAGAGAACAGCATTGGAGAATTAGGTCAGTTCTTTTGAGATATGGCAAAGAAAAGTTATTTTCACGTGTATGGGCACAATAGCTGTGACTTGTTACCAGTGATAAAATACTGATGTTAGATTAGCCTTAGGAATCCAAATCGTGTAAGCCAGTGTGTCAACTAGCGTTCACTGGGAGGAGAGGTGCTGCCTTCTGTGCATCACCACGTCAAGGGCATAGAGGTTAAAACATGCCCTCCGCCAGGTTTACACATGCTTCTCAATCCTGAGACCCAGAGCCCTTCATCCTCATAACAGCTGGCCCCACACCCTCCCACTCCCTGACAGAAGAGGGATGTCCAGAGATCAGTGACCATGTTTAACATCAGCAGCCCCTTTCCTTCCCACACCTCACACCTGTCATTTCTCTGAAAATAAATAGGCCCCTTTCGTGGGGCCGGTGGGGAAGTCAGCATTTCCTTTGCTCTTTTCTGATGGAGGAATGCAAGGGTTCAGGGGCTGAACCACTGTCACAGCTTGCCTCTGGTTTCACTGCCTTAACCTTAGAATGCTTTTGTAGTCAGTATGTAGAATTGAAAAAAGGTGTCTTCCAAGAGCAAATGGATGATGCTTCTAAGTACTAGATGCTACCTGTTAAAAAAAAAACAAAAAAACTATTTTACACCGTGTTTTCATCTTTTTGGCACCTTCTCAGGAAAATTTAGTTTTCAGACCTCTGTGAAAAATTAAATGTGGACTTGCCTTGTAATGAACTTACTCTACTTTGGTACTGCACGACTCAGCCAGTGTATACATGGCCCATCGCTGCCACTAACTGGTAAGTTCTCCAGTTAGATTTAATTTCTGAGGACAAGAAATATTGTCTTTTATCTGTGGATAGAGCTGAAATAACTAACCTTAATGTAATGAAGCCCTGTTAGGTTCCTCACCAGCCAAAGAACCACAGCCTTTACTCCCACACTTCATTCTCTCCCCCATTTTCCCATCTCCTGTAAGTTAGCTCCACTGTCCTGTTCATCAAAACCGAATCCAACTAACTGAGCACCTTCCCGGTCCAACCATCCTGTGGTGCTGGACCTTTCCCTACTTCACTTAATCCTCACAGCCACGTATTGGAATAAACCCCCGGCACTGAACACCCAGAGGAACGAAGCTCCGAGGCTCTTCTCCCTGCCTCTTCCATCCCCTTCCTTTCCTGCGGCCTCACCCCAGTCTCTGAGCTTCCAGGCTGTCCTTTCTCAACCACCCAACACTTCCCTCCAGATCTGTCAACGTGCTTCTCCTTGACTTCAAGCTTGGTTAACTTCCTATTTTTCAATCAATTCCACAATCTCCAGTCTGACTCTACATACTGAGCCACAACCTCTTAGCTCTTTCAAAATGCTTCTGCCACCACCCCCTCTGCCTGCCTCCCAACTCCCCCATACGGCACAACACTGTCACTTCCAGTCCTGTGCCTTTCTTTACGTCTCCTCCCCCAACTGGGGCCCCGGAGTCCCACACACCCTGCCTGGACTGCGAGGCTCCTCTCCACACTCACCTCCAAGACGACTTACACAAGCTCTGCCAACACTGACTTCTCCCTTGCCAAGCCTCCCACGGTACCATGAGGGCATCCCAGGAGAGTGTCAGGAGAGGGACTGAGGGGCCTGGACCATGCTGGCTTGAGCACAAACCACTTGGAAACTGGTACGGAAAATCTTGGCAGAATGCTTGCATGTCCTACAACCCAGCACCTGCACTCCTAGGTTTATGTCCTAGAGAGCTCTCGCACACACCACACACACCAGGAGAATGGTACAAACTGCTCCTGCTTATAAGAGCGGAAAAATGAAAAACATCCAAATGACAGGACAAATTATATATACACACACACACACATTTTATATTACCTGTGATGTATATATATATATTCCCCTCCACCCCATGCAATAGAATATTGTGAAGTTAGTGGAAATCAATTAATTGTAGAAATGCACTATCAGGACCATAAAATATGAGTAGAGATAGCCACAGAAGACTAGATACAGGATACTCTTTCTATAAAGCTCAAGAAAAAAGTTCATTGTATATTTGGGAGAGAATGTAAAATGTGAGGGGAAAAAAGATAAAGAATACAATTTGGCATAACAGTCACCTCGGTGTAGTAGGGGAAGGAGGGAGAAGGGGTGCGTAAGGGTCATGGGTGGTCCCAGTGGAGATGTGGGAGTTGGCGGTTGGTTCACAACTTGAGCACATTACATGCAGGCACGCGCTGGCTAAAGGGGAAGGCTGGTGCTCAGGTAACCATCAGGGGTTCTGTGACCAGTTCACACCTCCTGCCCAACTGGGCACAGACAGGACATTCATTCGGTGGCTCCAGATCATCACGCAGTGCCCTGGAGGCCTGAGCCTCTGTGAGAGCCCATAGCCACGGGGGCAACTGGGGGACACCTGCAGGGGCATGGGCTGAGCAGCAAGACATTAGCCGTCGCCACAGGACATGACTTGGAAAGTGCCCACTATAATCCCTTATCAATTACTGAATCCTGGAATGAATTATAGAAGAAAGAACCAATGAAATAAAGGATACACGATACTGGACTGAGAGTGCTGCCTGGTAACAAAACCAAATTAATAAATTTGAGGAAGTAAATTAGGTCCGCTACACTTTCAGTGAGGGAGGAGAGCCTAACCTAGAAATAAAACTCCAAGGTGACGAGGCCTCTGGCCATCATCACAACAGCCTCGGGCACACGGAAATGTAGCCTCTTCTCCCGGTGGTCACACAGACAACCTACACAGTAAGGCTGTATGGGGGAAAAACTGAAGAACATGCAGACAGTAAGCAACTTTGGGATTCACTGGCCACATCACAGGGTAAAAGTGGGTTGATTTTTCAAAAGGGAAAAAAAAGGTCACCATGTATATGTCCTTTCACTTTTACAAAATTTGCAATAAAGCACAATTCTTGGGCTGTTTTTCATTTTTTTTATTGCTGTTAATTCAAGGAAAAAAAGGTGCATAAAATCCAATCTGTTCTAGAAATATAAGTGGCCTTTCCAGTACATAACATTTCAAATATCAAAGTATATGGTAAACATACAAATAAGGAGAAGGTAACATACCTCCTATGTACAGTACAGTATTTTAAACATAAAATAAGCTCCATAAAGTACAACTGGCAAGTGATTCACAATGCGGTCCATACATGGCTTATCAAAACTCTCACTTGAACGACTCAACTGCAGCTTAACAATTAATTTATAATGTGGTCCAAAAATACCCAGATCAAATAAAATATATTTAATCAAAATAATATCCTTTACTCAAACTTTTTTTTTAATTAAAGCTTTCATTTACCCCTCCATACTCACCCCTCTCTCTTCTGCTTTAACTCCCATACCTGAAAGTTAGTTTCAAAATGTACATTGGTGCTATAAATATAAATTCTACCTATGAAGCATTAAATGTAGCTTCCTTTTTCTTCAAGTTTTTCCTTCTGTATAGTAATCTGTTAGGCTTCTGAACCAAGACCAAATATTTACGTTCCTCTGCTGCACACTAATGTTACTCCACAAAACAAAAAAATCTATCATTTCTGCTCTGTACTAAGGAATGGGAAAACAAAACTGACCCCAACCCCTAACCCGTGGCTGTACAGGGGCACGTGTTCACTGCTGACTGCAGCAGTCCCCAAATTACCCCTTGTCTTCCAGATAACCTCAGTGCACTTTAGGAAATCAAAAATTACCTGGAAGCAATTTAGTACATAGATTGGCTTTAAAAAACATGTCTTTTTAAACAGCAGCATTAAACTTAGTGACATGACACTGACATGATTTAATACCATCTTAAACACAGAATTTAGTCTTTCACATTATAATCAAGCATAGTGGTAAACTGTTATAAAAAGTGACTTGCTACGAGAGACAGGTTAGGGAGCAAATACCTGACTTTTGTAGAAATGCAGAGCTTCTGTCCAGATGGCAATAACCATACACATTTTAAACACAATGTAACACTGTTACAGTTGGTGTAAGAAAAGAAGAAACCTTTACTCAAGTAGTGTCTCCTTTCACGTGACACAGTGGTAGACTACAAGTAAAATTGGCTGTCGGCTTTCATTACAAACAAACACATACACAACAGCATTCACACTATTGTTCACTTTATGTCTCTCTGAAGCAACAGGCTAAAAAAGTATGATAAAGTTAAAAGTTTTTTTTTTTTTTTTTAAGAAAGAGTTCTTTGTCCACTTCATATATCATGTTTTTTCAGTTTCATATGGTGTTACTTCTTCCTCTCTCTCCTCTCCATTTATTTTAATTTTTATCTGGACAAGTGCTGCATATATGTTGTTATGGGATGCGGCTTATTACATATACACACTATTTGGGGAATTTGATTTCTCCCTTAAGATTCAGGTGAAACACTTTACCCTTGATTTATATGCAGAGCAGTTCACAGAAGTGAGGCAAACGCACTGGACGTGCCACTCCTGCACAGGCTGCCAGAGAAAAGTGCTGTTTGGGCAAAAGTGAGAGAAGCTGGGGAAGAAGCAAAGTTTCTTTTTTCCAAAACTATAAGACTATCACCAGTGTTTTAAAATGGTCAATACACAGTTTTAAAGATTCAGTAAACATTGCACACATGAAGTATTCAGTGTAAAAAAAACAAAAAGCCCAGCATCAACTTTTTCCTTTTGATAGTTTGGATGTTTAAATTACATGTATCACACAGATAAGCCTGTTGCTGACCCGGGAGACCAGAGGCTCAAAAGCAATGCATTCTTTTTTGTTTTGGACATTGGTACAAGGAAAATGAAAAACCCCAACTGCATAGAAATCTAGGAAATTTATAGAGAAAGAAACACAAACAAAATACCTTTCCTTTCCTCCCCTCCACACCCCACCATGACTCCCCACTTCAGTGTGTTAAGTAGGCAAGCTTTACTCGTTTCAGTCTGCAGAGTCCAACGTATCATTAGAAGGGGGGAGGGGAGGTGCGTATCTCAGTCTGTAAGTGCCTAAAACGGGAAAGACAGAACTGCTAAGTCACTGCTCACAAGGCAACGCATCACAAACCACAAAATATCACATGGGCATGCTCTTCAGAAGGCATCTTCTTCTGTGCTACTATGATTCCAAAATGGTAGATAAAATTACTTTTAAAAAGCAATACGAAGTTTGTGCTTTAAGTTCAACCCTAAAGCTATCAAACTCAATCTTCCTTTAAAAATGGTAATTGTATAGTCCCAATTCAAGACAGTTTTTTTTCTGGTGACATTTCGTAAAATGACAAAGGCCAAATGCAAGTGAAAGGTAACTGTTTGAGGTCTGCACTGAATTTGGTATTTTACTTACACTTAAGAGTATTTTACTGTTTCTGGTGGTAATAATAAACTTGGTCAAAATCCCTACTCCCAAACCAGTGTTTAAATATTTTGTTCCTTAAAATGCAAGAGCATTTTTTTAAACATCTGCGGGAAGGGAAGGGGTAGCATGGGAGGACATGCCTGAGGCCAGCTACTTATGCACAGAAAGACTAAATAACTAAGCACCTTTGTGGCAGATGACTACATTACCTCCTAGTTTTTCAGTATTTAAAATTTTTGCTCTCTTTGTGAAACAGGGCTGTAGCTTTAAAATAAAGTGCTGCAAGCAAGAGGTTTGACATCGGATAATGGAAATTCCCATCCTATTCCTTAGGAAGTGCCTTTCTGGTTTACTCCCTAGCTGGAAACTGCCTTCCCTGCCCTTCCTTGTGCTGTGCCTCAGGGCCACACGAGGCTCTGCCCTTAGCACTTTATGACCTGTCTCTGCCAGCACAACACCCCAAACACACACACACCAGCTCAACAGCTCTTTCTTCTAGGTCAGCATCACCGTAGAGGCAAGGCAGGGAGAAATGGGCGCGCTCAGAAACACGTCCTCTGGGCGCCCTCATGATTACCTTGTTGACTGGCCTCCATGGACGACTGCTTACACTCCTGCGCGTAGTGGCCGCTTACACCACAGTTGTAACATGAAACATTCCCATTCTTCTTGGGCCCCGAACCACTCGTGTTGGCAACTACACTAGGCGCTGGATATACAGGATAGTATCTCCCAAACCCTGCCATCTGTTGCATGCCATAACTGGCTTGGCTCCCCATGACTGGGTCATGCACCAGTCCATTTGCATATGGAGTCTGAGGCAGAAAAAAAGGAAGTTGGTTTCCGTTGCTCTGATGTGCTTGGTTGAGGTAGCTGCCATTGCAGATGGATGGCAGAGTAAAGAACGACGGGACCCGGTACATCGGTCCGGGCATGGGATTAGGGTAATAGTAACTGTTTAGCTGAAGGTTCCCATTGGTCCCACAGCTGCACCTTCGCCCACAAGAACCACAAGGGCCTGAGGCCATCTGCTGCGGTGGCAGCATCGTCCCATTGGCGTTTGTGTTCCCTACAGCACTGATGTAAGCTGTGCTGTCGCTCTGCGCGGTGCTGTGTGTCAGAGCAGGGCTTGCGCTCGGGGCGGGGCCCGGGGTGTGCGTAGGGACTGCGGGAGGAGCAGGAGACTGGGCCTGACTGGAGGCTGCCCCCGCAGGTGGGGAGGAGGCTGCTGCTGTGCTCAGCGCACTGGAACTCTGGCTGGGTAGCACACCAGCGGCCAGAGGGGAGCCTGGTAAGGAGTAGGGAGCTGGTGGCTGGGCAACTGACAGGCCAGCTGCTGGAAGAACTACCTTCACACTGGTGGGCTGAGGGACTGTCCCTGTGTTTCCCTCCATTTGAGGCACCATTTGATTTAGTCCTACCACTGGGGATGCAGATTTTGTGATGGGGTCCGTGGTAGCAACAGGAGATCCGGGAAAACTACCTGGGTTATGAACAGGAATAAAGGCAGTGTTTGGTGATCCGATACTCAGACTCCCGGTTGGCTGCTGTGGGATGTTACCTGTGCAACTCTCAGAAGATCCCTGTGGCGACGGCAATTTTAGCCTCTGAATTGTTAGGTGCAAAGCAGGAGTACCACTGTGTGGGAGGAACGTCGATGGAATAGGTAAAGGGGAAGCCAGTAACTCAAGGTGTTTTTCCGCTTCGCCAGCAGAAGCTGTTGGCCCTAGCATCCCAACAGGGGTTGAATTTGTGGACTCCCTTATTGCAGAAATAGCAACAGGACTAGGAACAAGCATCCCTATTGTTTTGCCATCAGTAGATTTGGGTGGAGGAATGACGACTTCTGACTTCTGGGCACCATTGTGCATGACACAGTGTAAAGTTGGCATAAAAGAAATATGCTGATATTTGGGCGAGTTTAAGGGATCTTCCAAAAGGCCTCCATTGTCATTTCCTAAGGGAGCAATCTGCACAGGTGGCTTGACAGTGACAGTCTGGTTGACAGGGTCATAACCTGTAAACCTCATTGTTGATGGATTCCCAGAGTCCTCAGAATTGCTGTCTGTGTCTAAGGGAAACAAAAATAAACAGATTTTAACACAAACATAACTCCCATCTTTCTTGCCAGAAATAAATTTGAAGTAGATCTAAAATGAACTCTGGAAGTTAGAACTGGAGTATATGTGTTCCTTGGCTTCCTGACTGCCAAGCTAACCTTCTCTTAATTTTTGTCTTTCTATGGACTTTATTTTAAAATATGGAGATTCTGCAAAAGTCAAAACTATGGAGACAATAAAAAGACCAGTGGTTACCATGGGCAGGGGGTGGAGGGGAAAGATGAATAGGCAGAGCACAGGGAATTTTCAGGGCGCGGAAAATCGTCTGTACAGTATCCCAATGATGGATTCATGTCATCATACACATTTGCCCAGAGCCACTGAAGGGATTATATCCAGAGTGAACCCTTAGGTAAACTATGGGCTTTGGGGATATGATGTGTCCATGCAGGTTCATCCTTGGTAAAAATGTACCACTGTAGTGAGTAGTGATGATAATGGGGGAGGCTGTCATGTGTGAGGGCATATGTGGGAAATCTCTATATCTTTCTCTCAGTTTTACTGTAAACCTAAAGCTGCCCTAAAAAATAAAGTCTTTAACGATGATAATAATAATCATAATAATAATAATAAATAATAAATAATCCATGGAAACATAAGCAACAAAAGGTTAACTGGAGACTGAATGAAGCACAGTATAATTACAGAGATTCAGCATCACCTTATTACTGAGACAAGGATTAGATATTTTTAATCTTAATCAATTTTAGGCAATTCACTTAATTTATATTCTGCACTGTCAAAACAAGGTCTTCATATTTGTCTCACATAAATGATACAAGCTAAAGGAGGCCAATCAAGACTATATTTAACTCAAATCTAGAGGTAGGGAATAGAAGAGAGTTTTTTTTTTTTCTTTAAGAATGGAATAAATAGTCTTGCTTTTTAAATATGTCAGTCAGGGAAAGAAATTTAAGCTACTATTACAGTCATAAAACAACTGTGCTAGAACACAAGAGGCAAGGCAAATGAGAGTCCTGCTATTTCTCTAAAAGCAAAGAGCGAAATGGCTGATACAGAATTTCACTGCATTTGTTTTTAATACTGCATCACTCGTACACTTTAATCTAGACATCCCAGGATTTCCTGACTTTTGGTACAAAGGGGGAAGAAAGTAAAATCTAATTCACGATGTTTAAATATCGTAAACCTAGGTATTGCAATAATATGTACACAGACCATTCAATTAAATGTAGTGCCTACTTTTAACATTTTTCTGCTAATAAAGCAGAATTGTACTATATACTTAAAATGTTTGTATTCATTAAGGTAATAACTAGTTCTATTCAGCTAAGATGTTAACATTTTTGAAACACACTAAATACCATTCTCAAAGAAACAGTTAAATAGAACCTACTTAGTGACACACAATGTCAACACTGTTATTAATTCAACTGTTTTGATTTACACTAGAAGAATTTCAATTTATGAGTAAATGGCTCTAGCATTAACTCCCCTTAATAACTGAGGTGCTGCTAAACTTTGCAGAACAAAAATTAATAACTTATTTAAGGCACTATATTGGTACCATCATATGAATACATAAAGATAAATATTTTAAGTCCAAAAGAAGCTGTAACATTTTTCAGATGATCAATTAAATTTCTATATGAGTTGGACTTTGTTTAAATCTTCTTAAGTGATAGCAAGTGCCCCCATTTTAAATGATCCCAAAAGATTTTCTGAGCATTTTAATAGCTAAATCTAGCTGTTAAGAGAGAGGTCATGTCTTTTTTTGTGTTGACTTTGCAAAGTATAAAGTCTCAAAACAAAACCCCATTATGACCACCACCACCAACAAAGCCATATACTTTTCAAAGCAACCTTTCTACACACTCAAAATTCTAAAAAAGATCAAACCCCTGGTTTTAAAACCCTAAAGGGCTCATTTAGTCACCTGACAACTAAGCCTATCTGGAAGAGCAGCTTCCTCCAGATAGGTCCACAGGCTCACCCTCTCTGATGACAGGGAGTAACCCAAGGCTGCAGACGGGCCCTGAACAGTTCTGACAAGGCCAAGTCCGCACTGTTAGGTTAAGATCACAGGATTATTTGTATATCCTACAGAAATCAAGCATAAAATGTGAAGTGAAACATACTGAAAGCTTGTTTATTCTGCCGAGTAAGGCATAAAAATTCTCTCATTTGACCTTCATAACAGCTCTGAGAGGTTACTTTTATTTTTTTTCTTCCATGAGAAAATTACAAATTAGAAGTGCAGTGCACTGCCTCAGATTAGTAGAACTGATGGTAGAATCACTGCATGCTGTATTTGGTGTGACTTCAAAATAACTGCAAAGTAAAGACTGGCTTTAATTGTATGTGATGCAGTTCCACTATTGTGATAGCTCCCTAAGACGTGACCTGACAGTGTAACACAGAAGCTGAAGTCTCAGGGAGCTGTGGACTGCCCAGGAAGCCACACGTGCTGGAAATGTGGGCTAAGAAGCTCTACAGATCTTTAGGCGGCCCAAGAGAAATCATTTAATATGCATGGGTACACCTTATAACCACAGGGTTATCAGTCAGATGTTCAAACCAAGACATTACCAATCAGATATTGTTATCATGTGTAAAGAATGACATTCTCATTCAACATATGTATTTTTGAGATCTCATTTCTGGAATGACAGAGTTAGGACCTCTCATACTCCCCTCCTCTGTAAAAGCAACAAGAACCCCAGCAAAAACTGTCAAAATCAACTTTTTCAGAACTCTGAAAATTAACTAAAGGACTGCAATAATCTGAGGATGGAAAATAGCTGACTTGCTTAGAAAGAGTGAGCACTGTGGTATTTTACCTTGCCGTAATTTCATCTCACTTTATCCTGCTCTGAAGTAGCCTTGTAAACTAACAGTTTTGCAACTACAGTAGCCATGAAAGTGAGCAGTCTAGCAGCCGCTAGAAAAAGCATAGGTTTGAAGCTCTCTACAAGTCCCATTCCCAAAGAACTGTCACTATTTGACCATCTGGCAGCTTGAGCTCACTCTGTGGTAACAGCACTTACCCACAGGGCATTTGTCCCAATCCATCAGTGGCAAATTGTTTTAACAATGTGGCTACCTGATGCAGCATTAGTAGTTGGGACTAACAAGAGGCTGACAAAGAACCTTAAAAGGAAAAACAAGAATGAGATGTCCAGAGGGAGCTTTGAAAAGCTTTGAAATATTCTTGGGAATCTAGAAAGCCATGCTCATGTCTAAGGCTGTATGCAAGCCCAGGAAATACCAGAGAAGGCCTTAAAAACTCACTTTTGGTTGACTTTGAGCCTCTGTTAAAGGATGATTTGAAGACATAATACACAGAAAACAAATGGCAAAATGGCAGATGTATACCCTACTTTATCAGTAATTACAGTAAATTTAAAAGGATTAAACCCTGTAAGTAGCCAAAAAATGGCTAGAAAGCCATAATCCAACTATATGCTATCTATAAGAGACTCACTTCAGATCCAAAGACACAAATAAGTTTAAAGTAAAAGAATGGAAAAGGAGGTATCCTGCAAACAATACACAAAAGAGAGCTAGAGTGGCTATACTACTATCAGATAAAACAGACTTTAGGACAAAAATGTTAGAGATGAAGAATATCATAATGATAAAAGGGTCAATCTGTTAGGAAGACATAAAAATTATAAATACATGAACATCTAAAAACATACAAATTTTCGATCTTTATACACTAACTATACATTTTGTTATAACTGTCTTCTATTTAATTCCACATGCAATAAGTTAAAAAAAATCAACATTGCCAGGAACTGCTAAATCAATAGTCTATAAGATACCCTTTATACTGATTACATCTAAAATCAATAATGACATTTATAGGTCTATAAAATTACTTGTTTAACCAAAAAAGAGACAACACACCATTTCCCTCAGCCACCCCCATTATCTGTCCAAAGAGCAAACCTCTGTCTTTTTCTTCTTCACTTTCAAAACTTTCTCTTCCATCATGTTGTGGGCTAGATGGTGAACTGTAACTCTCTGAAGATGTTTCTCCACATGTGTCATGTCCAGATCCAATGTCCAAATTCACATCTAAAGTGAATTTACATCATATAAAGTGGTTAAATTAAGTTTTGAATTGAACCATTAGAAATTAGTCACAACTATACATTTTTTTTTCAGAAGTCCTACAATCACGTAAAAAGCAGGTCCTTGACGTAGGTAGAAACTCATTATTAAATCATAATTTTAATTGAAAATAATTGATAAATACATTCTTAAAGGCTGAGGGAGTCAATTATACTGACTTAAAAAAATTGGACTTAAGGTTCTTTATAGGGTCTGTCCTATAGCACCTGAACCACTTTCTAAGTCTAGATATTTTAACTCTTCAGAGCTTGTTGGAAAACTAATTCTTTAGAAGAACTCAAGGATGTAACTGACTGCCAAAAGTGCCTACTTAGCTAAAATTACCATGTCTGAGTATTTCAAAGGAGTAAAATACTTCCCATCTAGTAGACTGAATAGCCCCTTGAGTTCTGCCTAGAAGCCAATATGACAATAAGGCAGGGCAGGGGAGTGGGGTGCACAACCTTTCATGATCAATTAGCTGTATCTGTCTTGAGCACAGAGGTAAGATTACTGGCATCCTTGGTACTGGACATTTCTGCATTGGCCCAAACTTATGGAACTGTTCTATTCATTTCTGTAAACCCAGTAGCTAGCATAGCTTCTGCCTTACAGAAAGCATTTAACACATGTTTAGTATATAAATCCCCATATAAAGGATTCCAGAGGGCTCTGAAGAACTACAGAGTAAGTAAATCATTTCCTTGGCAACCTGGAAGACCCAATAAAAGGTAACAACTATTAATCACTTGGACAAAATATATGTTAGAGAAAAGATACATTTGTGTAATGGGCAAGTTAGTTGGCTAATCTGTCTTTTGAAGGGAGTAAACTTTAATGGAGTTAAGATTCTTAAAGATGACTTAAAGTCTAGCGCAGCCACTCAAATGGCGGATGAATAATGAAGAAGAGCAAAGTCAGTAAGAATGTAGATGCTGCTGATTTCTTTTGAATAATAAAATGCCAAACTGCCAAAAGAAAATGGCACAGAAATCTCATGAAGCTGTAAGAAAAGAGGCAGAGTTGTTCCTTGGGCAAATAATAATTTTACAGTAACCTGGGCTACACTTATATACCACAGATTCTCCATTACCAGCCACGATGTGACTAAGGAAAGGGCTGCAAGTCAACGCCAATGGTTACGTGAAGGCAATCTAATGTGCCACAGGGGCCAAACAACCTGGCATTAAATTGTACTAATGAGAATGAGAACTGGGGCACATATGGAAATTATGCATATAAATATTTCAAAGAACATATAACAAAAATGAACAATTCAAGAATTAAGAGAATCAAAGATTCAATATTATAGTCTTAACCCAGAAATGATGGGCTAAAAGGAACCACTGGGGTAGGGTAAGCCAAGATTTGCTCACTGACACTGGAACAGTGACACTACAGTGGGAGTCTTTGAAACTTCAAAGAGTAAGTTTCAGAATATGCTTAAAAAAATTAAAAAAGCAACTAACTCTCTCTCATATGACATGATTTATAAAATGATTTTCTTTAGTTTATATAGCCACTAAATATTCTAATCACCAAATTGTCATGTATTTGCAGTTTTCAAAGAACTGAATACATTAATCTAAATTTAAATTAATCTTCTCTTTTTTATTATCTAGAAAGCACTTCAGAATTCCATTGGGTTTTTGGGAATTTTTATAATAAAAATTTATGTTATCCTTTAGAGACAGCAGGTATGGACGGTGAGAATGAAAACAATTAATTATGCCAAAATATATTCATGAACTGCCCTTTTAAACAGAAATATAAGCTTTTTTTGTTACTCTGTCTCAAAGGGTAAAAGGTCATGCATGTTACTAAGAAGACCAAAAGCAAAAAACTTACATTAGTCACTATTCTAACAATAAAAATCCTGGTTATTAGTATTAGTTAGACTTAAGAACCATTTAGACACATCAGACGAAACATAATGGTTATTAAAAGAAGATGGAGACCTCTGAATTGCTGTCATTTTTTTAAAAGAAATTGAGAGGTCAACCACCTCATTCCCCCAAAACATTTTAGTGCCACAATATGCAAAAGAAGAGTGGGGTGGAAGAAACAAGGTTGATGCCCTGGGACACAATTCTTGATATAGAAGAGGTGATGCATACATCTCTTCAGGAGAGAGATTTAAAGCTTGAGGTTTTAAAAGCAAACACACTGTGAAGAATACTGATGACTAATAGCACTGATTGCTTTTGGGTGGCAGACAATGGAGGGAGGCAGTGAGGAATTTACAGTTGACCCTTAAACAACACAGTGGTTAGGGGCACTGACTCCCCCAGCCCACACAATTGAGAATTCACATATAACCTTTGACTCCCCAAAACTTAACTACTAATAACCTACTGTTGATCAGAAGCTTTACCAATAACACAGTTGACTAACAGAAATTCTGTATATGTATTATATACTGTGTTCTTACAATAAAAGTAAGCTAGAGAAAAGAAAATGTTTTTTTTCAAATTGTGGTAAATCTCCAAAAAATTTTCCAATCTAGATTAAAGGTCTAGTGCATTTTGTTCTCTTTTGTGTCTTCAGAATTTTGAACTATATGAATGTATTATTATTACTCAAAACAGAAATTGTATTTTAAAATTAAAAATAAATGATACTTATCCTCAATGAGAATGAATTAAAGGTCTGGACAATGTAACAATCAGAAATCAGAAAGACCCAATATTTTCAGCTTCAATATATCACCTACAATTTATAATATGCATTATTGTTTCATTAAAAAAATCTTAAATATATTGTGAGTATACCAAATGTTTAAAGGTAATTCCTTCTTGATACCTTACTATTTCAAAGGGAAATAAACAGAAGGACTCTTTTTAAATTGGAGTTGGCAAATCACTAAGATACATTTGGCATTAATGAGAAGTTGTACAAAGTATATTTTATAGTTATCCTCTATAAATGTTAAATATGTACGAAACAGTGACACATATAGACAAAATAGATTCCATCAAAAATCCTGAGACTGTACTTTCATAATACATGAAGATAAAGAGATGAAGGAATTGGGATTTGAGTTGTTATTAACAAGTTCTTAATAACCTATACAGTGTGTTTTCTTTTAACTTACTGGAATCAGGAAAAGGAACACCTACGTGCTGGGTACTAGTAAAATGCTGTTCACATGTTATCACATTTAATTCTTACAATCTGCTGAGGCAGGTATTATTCGTATTTTACAAATGTGAAAACTAAAGCTTCAGAGAGGTCATTTAAGAAGCTGTGGAGTACAAGATTCGAACCCACATCGATTCTGAGATCAAAGTCCATGCACCTCTCTGGAATATGAAACTAAAAGGTGAAGAATGGTTGTCAACTTCTTTAGTGAGCAGTAGTTCTCAAATTATGTGAGAAACAAGAGATAAAGCAATCTCATGAGGCTATGGTTAGTTGACAGGAATTTCAACGGCATGTGCTTTTAGGAGACAAGCATGGGACAGTATGGAAATGAGCTGGAGGGAGGAAAGAAAGAGGGGCACTCGGCAGAAGCTATTTCTAATCATCCACCAACGGAGACCTTCCACCTGCCTTATTTTAGCTTTTCCCTCCTCCTTTTAGCTGCTATCACCACAGGAAACCTCAAAGACAGTTAAGTGTTACGCTATATTCATAAAGGACATGGTTTTTTTCCCCCTGTAATTTCCCCCCAAGACAGTTCAGTTCATCAACTGAGCTGGCCAGACGATTTCAGAGTCAAAATGTAACTGCATTTCCTTTACCAATATTCAATCTGAGCAAAGATCTACTTTAAAAATATACTCTATAATAGAATCTTCAAATGTATGTTACCCAGCAGAGAGGAATGGGGTTGGATAAGGAATATTAAGAATAAAGAATTATTGATAAAAATACCTTTAGTAACCATAAGTAAATTTATGAAATGTCATGTCCTGCCATATGAACAAAATTTAAATCAATTCTTATTTAGTGTTAGGAATTATTACACTTCAAAAATTATTTGACTTGATCAATTATATTACCTAGGTTGCCATATGCTAACACTATATTTAAATTCAGAATTAGTTATGACTAATTTTTGCAGACATAGTTTCCTTATACCATAGTTCATTCTAAGTATAATTATGTGAGGTCTTTCTTGAATAATTAACATTGGATGCATATCGAGTCCCCCCCATACCCCATTGCAGTCACTGCCCATCAGTGTAGTAAGATGCCACAGTCACTACTTGTCTTCTCTGAGCTACACTCTCTTCCCCATGATTCCCCCCACACCAAAAATACACTCTATTAAAAAAATATTCTGGGTATTTATGTTGCATTACAACTGAATGTACTAACATTTGAATAAAACTTAAATTAAGAAAACTTTGTTTTTAAGATCAGCCCAAGTTAACAAACATGTCAGGTGCACTCATGGACAAAATAGTCTTCTGGAAGTCTGTGGGCCTTTATTCTTTTTTATCTTTTCTATTAATTGTAAGGTAAATATAACACAGAAAAGTTATCAATTTCAGTCAAATGAACACAAAACCTTTCACCCAAAAACAGAGGATGGTGGGTAAGTGGAAATCACATAAATCTCGTACAACAAAACAGGAGGGTCTGAATTCCCCTAAAGCCCCAGAATCTCCACAAAGGACAGTCATTAAAACATGAAAAAGTCAATAAGATTTTAAAACATGACTTTACACAGGCCTCCATTAGGGTGGAAAAGATCTCCCAGGCCTTGTGGACCTGTGCTCTGGAGCAGGATGGGTGTAAGAAGAACAAGGCAGGGGCCTGCTGAGCCAGAGGAAGGAACTGGTGGGGAAGGGTGATTTGGCAAAGGAAATGTTTACCTCCGTGGTGGAATTGTCTTTCCTAAAGTAACTCCATTAACACTTCAGAACCACTTAATTGAGAAATCCTATTCACATCAATGCAGGATAAAAGTATAATATCAGGATTTGATGCACAGCTCAACACCTACTCTAATAGGTATCACACTAACTCTATTTAGATGATAGGTATTTGGAGAAAAATGTTCTTACCTTTTACAGAACCACCATGGACATGCTGAGGAGTGGAGAGTCTGATACCATTTATTCTACTATTCAATCTGTTTTCAGTTTTCTTAATTTTCTCCCTAAACAAAAAGTATACATGTTACCAATGTTTTTTATAAGGTTCTTTAGAGAACACTAAGTACAGTATCACTAAATTTCCCCTCAAAGTTTTTATAATTAAAAAAATTAAGGTATAACTAAATATAAGATTCACCCTTTAGAGTAGTTCTCAAGTTTTGCCTCTCCAAACTGAATATTAATATTTTACTATAGCTCTATTTTTGTCACTTGTGTTTGTTATTTTTGAACTAAAGAGATAAAGCCCAGAAGTAAAAAATATAAAGAGAGCTATGAGAATAATATTATTTATATTACACAGATTATACATGCCCATCATCAAATCCTACGTGTTTGCTGCCTTTTTTTACACCAATTTCTATTACTAAATTGAACCTACTTTTCTATTTGCGGCTTTCCTTTCTTCTTATTTATTGAAGATAAGCTTCGCTTTTCACTTGAATGCTAGTAGGGAGAATAAAAAGAAATCAGACTACAGCTAAACCATACTCAGTAAGTTTTTACTAAAATAACACATAATTTCTCAAAATATGCTTCCATGCTCTAGGTTCATAAAAAACACATTCCAGTAAAGATGAACAATTGGATCTGAATGTTGGCCAGAAAGAGAAATCAGTTTAACAATCTATTTTCTGGAGAGAAGGTGGTTCTCTCCATGACTGCACCAGTAAGCCTTTTCCCTACAGCACCTAAACACACTTGAGAATATTCTGCAATCTGATTACACCAAATCCTGAGAAAGCAATTATTTCCCAATTACATTCAGGAGTGTTGGTAAATTGGCCCAACCACTCATGAGGAAAAATGAGTGTCAAAATTCACATCAGCAATAGCAAGATAGTTATTAAAAGGTGAATCATTCTTTCAAAAGCAAAAAAAGTTGGCATAACACTTTGGACCCCTAGTTAGAAAAAACATTTTAGATATATTAAAATGTACTAATTTTTTGAGCAATAAAAGTAATCTAAATATACTTAATTAGGAATCAGAAGAGCTGAGATCATACATACCAAGTAAGTTCAAAGTCTAACATTTAAACATTCCTTCATTTCTTCTTAACCAGATAAACTATCTGATGTAACAATGCTTACAGAACTCGACTGCTTCAGAGCAGCAATGCTCTAACAACACGGTGTAAAGAAAAAACAAAGCCCCAAACACCTGGCCAGCTAAGGCTCCACAGTGCTCCGGGGGCCGGGCAGCAGCGCAGCTTTGCTTTCTCCAATCCACGCTTCCATTCTGCTCAGAATACTGCATGGTGAGCCCATCCAACGGAGAACAACTGGTGCTAAGAGTGCTACCAAAAGAAAAGTTTATACAAGTATGAAAATCTGTCCTCAATAACCTAACCTACTATATCATATAATGATGCGGTAATCCTTTCTTCAGTATGTTAGTTTTCTACAGAATGCCTAGTAATATCTCTAAGGCAAGAAAAAGTATACTGTAAGAATAAGCCAGTACACAGCTGTCTCATCTATTTAATAATTAACACCTGTCTCTAAGGAGAGTCATAAAAAATGCAGATTCTGTCTCTAGACTCCATGCTGGTCATCCTGCACCACTTACAGCAAGGGTATATACCCCATCCTGATAGTCACCAAGTACTGTATCTAAGACATGTGAAGGGACAGGATAATGCGACTGAAAACCAAAAGGAACTGACCATAGAAACTTGAAAACAGAATCAAAGGGAATCCACAGAATGAAGTTATGGGCACGTACACTTTAAAAATACAACACTTAACATGGTTGAAGGCTAAAAGAATATAGAGGATTTGGGAAAAGTACTGGGAAGTATAAAGAGCCAAATTTAAATTCTAGAACTGTAAAGCTGAAATTAAGAACTCAATGGATGGAAACAGATTTTAAAAATCAATGAAGAGGAAATGTGATCAGAAGAAAATAGACTGGAGCACTAGAGGAAAAAAATATGGAAAATAGAAAAAAATTTTAAGAGATGTGGCACATGTGAAAGTCTAACATACTAGTAGTCCAAGTCTCAGAAGAGGGAACAAGAGAATAGGGCAGAAGTATGATCTGAGGATATAATGGCTTGGACTTCTCTGAAACCAAAGGTATCAATCAAAGCTTCAGACTCAATAAGTAGAATTCAGTCAAAGAAGGCTACAAACCTATCACAGGAAAACTGCTAAAAACCAGAGACAGTAAGAAAATCTTAAAAAGCAATCAGTTTGGAAAAACACTAACTTGCAAGGAGCAACAATAAGATTGAGACAATGGAAACCGGCTATCGTAAGATTGAGTTCACCCTAAAATTAGATCTGGGGTAACAGTTGATTTGGAAGATGACTGCAGGAGGCAGGAGCCAGGAATGGGGAGAATAAAGCAGGAAAGAAGAAAAAACCAACCTAAGGGTCCATTACTGAGGCTGTCCCTACAAACAAGAGGCTCAAATTGGCTGGGACCTCCCAGAATTACTGATCCCAAAAGACAGGAAGCCAGGGCTCCTCTACAAGTCGAGGGCTGACCCCCAGGTTGACTTCTGGACTGTGTCTGTTCAAGGGCCAGCAGGCCCTTCGAGTCAACAAGGGCTCTGAGGCAGAAGGCAGAGTCCTAGGGTGCATACTTACCATGGGATGGGTGGAGTACAAGGGGAGTCAGAATCAGCGCTGGCCTGACAGCAGGTGACTCTAGGCCTAAAGGCATCACACTGGAAGACAGCGCAACTGGAGTTTCAAAGAGCTAACAGAAAACAACCTCCAACCTAAAACCCTATATCCAGCAAAAGTATCTTTCAAAAACGAACACAAAACAAGCATTTTTTTCATATAAAAAAATAAAGTGAATGTCATCACTGGTATTTACAGGACTACAGAAAATACTCGTGCTCTTCTGTTAGAAGGAAAATGATTGTAGATGGATACTAAGACACACAGGAAGGAATAAAGAGCAATGGAATGATAAAATCAAAATGATTAATGAAAAACCTCTCATGAGGTTTAGAATATAGAGAGAATTAAAATAGATTACAAAAATTTTTTTTAAATGACAGCTACAGTTTACAAGTTGGAAGAAGGTAAGTGATGTTACAGTGATCAAAGGTCCTCACATGGGAAATGGTACAAGCACAGTTAATCTCGGATCTTACTAAGTCAGAGATGTCTAGGGTAACCCTTAGAAGAACGAAAAGCAATGTGTACCTATCAAGGCTAATAGAAGAGAATAATAAAATTGAAAAAAAAACACCCAAAAGCAAGAAAGAAGAGAAAAGGAAACACAGAAAAGGTGGAACAAATAATAAGCAAACAGTAAAATGTAGAATTGGAGCCATATATGTCAGTAACTGATGTGACACAGCAATTCAAAAATGTACAACACATTCATTTTTCAGGAAATAGATACCTACTTCACAATGGGACTTTTCCCGGTATGTTTCTTGTGGATTACTGTATGCTGTAACACATCTAGAGTAGAAGAAAAAACAACTTATTAGACCAATTTATTACACTTCTACAAAAAAAACCAAAAGGATGATGCAACTAGTCCCTGTGACCATAATAGTGTCAACAGACCATGTAGAGCATTTCTAAGCATTTTTCACAGAAAATTCCTTAGAAGCAACTTTTCAAAGACAATAAATATTTCCTTAAATATCCCCTCAAATGTGTACTACCTAATAACGAATCGATTTTGTTTAAAACTATGAAAGTTCACTATGAGCATGGCCACTATAAAACCACAACCCTCAATTTCAGGCACTGTTTTTTACCATTAAAAAAATGAAGTGTCTCAAATATTCAAAAAATACTTACCTGTTAATAAACATCCATGTACCTATCTCCCAGATATTTCTATATTTGCCTCTTTTTATTAAGAAACAAAATATCACAAAAACTGAAAGCCTTACTCCATTTGACTCTCTCTACAGAGATGAACTAGTTAAAATATTCTAGTGCCTGTTTTTAATTTACCATATTCATATTCACAAATAAAGACAGTAGTGCTACATGTTTGAAAGTACTATAAATATTCTTTAATTGCCACCTAGCATGAATATGCCACAATTTATTTAAAACTTTTATTAACATTTAAAGTATTTGGGTAATATCCAGGTATTTGTTATTACACACAAAACTGCCAGGAGAACCTTAGTCCCTATTCTGAGCACATGGACAATAATTTTCACAGAAGCAGAATTCCTGGGTAGTAGCATAAAATTAATTTCCCCAACTTCACTACACAGTGTCAAATTTCTGTCCAAAAGAATTGTACCAATTTAAATTCCCATCAGCAGCAGATGAAGAGTCCCCATTACTTCATATCCTTGATAATGTCAGACTTGAAAATGTTTTGCCAATCTGGTGAGTGTGAAATCCTAATCTCATTGCTGTTAATTTGCATTTTCTGGAGTACTCAGGAGGCTGAACACTGTTTAAAGTCCATTCGAGTTTCCTTTCTGTGAATCACCTAACTTTTGCCCATATTGCCAATTGGACTAATGGACTGAAAGACCATGGTCATGCTCTGCCTCGTCAAGAAAGCCTTCTTGGCTCATATTAACATTAAAATGTTTGACTTACACATTTCATGTATTATAGTCAGTTTGTATGTCATATATGATTTGTTATTAACTTGAAATTTTGGTGTATAAGCAGGGATCTAATTACAGAACTTTTTTAAATTGGAAAGCCTGCCAACACCTTTTAGTGAACAATCCATTCTCCCTCACTCATCTGTGACACCACCAAGTTCCCGTGCCTGTTTCCCAGCTCCTCAGTCTGTCCTAATGGTCTATGTGCCTGTTCCCATGCAAGAAACATCAGGCAGAATGTCTTATTAAATGAGTCAACATTTACCTTCTTCTTGACTTGAAGCTTCTGAGCTGTCTTCTTTTAAGTGTTCTAGTATCTTACAAGTCTTCAGAGAGGATTGTGAGTTATCTGCAGGAAGTATTCAATACCATTAACTTATAATGGAAATTTATAATAGAAAAAGAAAATAAATATATTTACTTTTCTCCCAAGGAAAATGAAATTGGGAGAGTTAGTGGTAAAGCCAAACTATAGGAATATAAGAAAACCTGGGACATCTTTTTGAACTGATAGCTTGGTCGGGTCTTACAGCACATTTAAGTTTGGGTGCAGAATGAGCCAGGACACTGGGACAGACACTGCTAGGGAAAACTCAGTGAATGCTGAGCCTTCGAGCAGCCAGAGATTGAGAAATGACGAGGAGGATCACGGTAGGGCTTGAATTTCATACCAAACCTTTATCGTTTTGATTAGGGGATTAACAAATTGATCCCTGAGATAATCCTGTATGGAGTAAAGTACAGTGAGAAACTACAATCTGAGAGATGAGCGAGGCTTTGCACAGTCCATGCAAGAAGAAAGGCCTAACTCAAAAGTGGGACTGGTAAGGAGGCATGAAAGGGAAGACAGCCTTGGTCTAGTGAGGCGTGGCCTTTAAATGACAAGAATAAGGCCAAAGTTTCCTGCTTGGGAGGCTGGGGAGAACAGGGGACCCAGGAGGAAAGGCAGACTATAAGGGGTTACACACCACGCAGCCCGTGATGTAGCATCTCCACAAGCTGAAAGCGAGGTCTGTCAAGGAACCTGAGAGCCTGGCAGGGCCACGAGCACAAGACCTGGCCCATGCTTCAAAATCAGTCTGTTTTCTGACATTAGCTTTTATACATTATTTCCTTTAAAACTGCAGTGTAAAATTCACTACGAACAACAAATGTTTAATTGTATGCCACTATTCCTTGACTTTAAAATGACAACCCCATATAACACTGTGCAGTACAGCAAGGAATCCATGCAAGAAAATACCACATTTCGACAGAGGAGCAGAAAGGGCTTACTAAGGGCATGTAGAGGGTCTGACGACATGGCCCGAAAAAAGCTGTGTACTTTCTTACTCTGCAGAAAAGCTTGGGATGAAGTTGAAAATAGCTGCCTGCATATAAAAAGAAAAAAGATGTTAATTTCACATAATATAATAAATGCACAGTTTAGATTGTAAAGCAATCTAAAATGGCAGTTTAACTGCAGTATAAAAAATTAAAATAATGAAGAATATTATTTTCTAATATATTTCCCATAGGAAGAAGTTAATAAAAGTTAACAAAATTTATTTTTAAGAATCTAATAAACACTTTTGTTTTATTTCATATAATCTAGTGGTAATGTTTTAACTCTGGGAAAATGTGTATGATTTCAGCCTTTTGCCCAAATGGTATAATAGCTGCCTTTCTGCTCAGAAAAAGAACTGCAATTTCTTTACCCTTCTTTATAGGTGTTACTTCTCATCTTCTGGCTGTACCATGCAGAAACTTTCCCACAATCTGAACATAAGAGGCTGGGAAGTCTGAGATGCTAAGTGGCCTTGGAAACTATGAAATGCAGTGAGGTCAGGTTAATTCTAAGTATTAGAACATCCTAAGGCAGGACTGATGATTCACTTCAGTATGTATCATATCATGATTCTAAGCTGTTATCTTTGGAAACCAGCTTTCCTCATACTTTATTAATGTAACTAAAAGATTTCAAAGGAGGTCTTACCTACAAAAGGGACCCTGCAAAGGGGGGCACAGGTACAGCAGTCTAATGGAAAGTCTGAATACCATCTCCATCACTTAAAAGCTGAATCACTCTGAACAAGTTATCTAGCCTTTCAGCTTCAATTTCCTCATAGGGAATACAATCAATTCTTCAAGGTTATGATACTCAAACAGTATACATAAATTAAGCTGTCACCCTGCTCAACATACAAATCCCCTTCCATTACTTTTAACACTTTACAAGCTCATTTAACTTTTTAATTCTTAATTTTCCCCCAAGGTTTTAGCCCTATCATTCAGGTTAATTTAGAATCATTAAATACCATAGCAAAAGATGACCCTTATTGGCCAAAGCTGCCTTGTATATTATGCAAAATTGCTTCTTGGCACTCTAATGTGGAGGTAAATATTTAATAGGAAGGTCAAGAAATGAAGAGATGGAAGAAAAATTACAAAGTACAGACCTCATCTAAATTTCCAGGTTTAAACACATTACTCAAGGCTGGGGATTAAAACCCAAACCAATTGGTCAAAAATAGAGGCAAGCACACCTTCAATTCAAGGCTTGAGAACCAAGAAACAGCCTAGATAGCATCTACAACTCCAATATCAACTGCATCTCCCCTACAAGAACACCAAGCTATTCATGTAAACTACACCTGAGATAAAGGCATGGGCTTAAAATCAACATATGGACCAAAGTCAAGGTTCATTAATGTGTGACCACAGGATTGCAATTCTACCTGTATTAAAAAAATCAAAGTGCCCATAAACTACTTAAATAAGAAAAACAGGATTACATTTTGACATGAAAGAAATCATGCAACACCAAATGTATAGTTCAGTGCTGTTATTTTCATTTTCCTAATTTACAGTGTATTTGGAACTAAATGCAGTGTGTCCTGTAGCAACCCAACCTCTACTTTCTATACACTCATTTTCTATTTCTCAATTTTATTCCCTTCCTCCTTTATAAATGCTACATTCCGTAAGTGACATGAATGATAATAACACTAATTTAAAAATCACAAACTGAGAATGAAGTGTCCTAACATTTCTATTAATGGTGTTGAACTAACAGGCTAGCCATAAAAAATCAAGAAACAAAGACAAATAGGGCTTTCTTTAATCTGAAAAGTAAATCTTATAAATCAGACCAATAAAAAGGTAGAGAGGACTGAAAAAGCCATTCATAGTAGAGTGCAAATGGCCACTCAAATACAGATTAAAATTAAATACAGTCTTCTTTTCTGAACATGGCAAAGATGAGAAGTTGAGAGAACTTTACATCTGCAGAGGTGTGGAAATACAAACATAAGGCTTCTGAGGGAATAAGGTGTCGCTGCCTCCTAAGAAGTAATTTGAAAATACTGCATATTAAAAAATGCCTGACTTTTGACCAATTACAGCTCTAGAAATTTCTCTTACAAATAAATACATCCAAATGTGTTAAGAAACATTCATGTGGATGTTCACTGTAATATTGTTCCTAATTGTTTTAAAATATTTAGGAATAACCAAAAAAGCAATATACCAGTTAATCTAATTATGGTACAATTTAAAGTGGAATATTATGAAGCAAATAAACAGCAAGGCAGCAATTTCTTTACGTGTACTGATGAGTTACCATGTTCAGTATATTTAATTAAAAGAGCAGAAGAGTATGCACAGGGTAATTCAATTTGCATAGTAAAGCAAATACATACAAATTCATAAGTTCAAGGGTATGTAGAGAAAATTTCTGAGAAGTTACATAAGACTTCTAATGAAGACTACTTCTAGTGACTAGATTTGGAGAAAGGGAAATTAGGGACATTTCCACATGAACAGAGCCAGGGAACACACATAACCATATTTATTCTGGTATCTACCTATATATACCAAAAATCATGGGTTCACACCAATACCTTCAATTCCAATCAGACAATCCAGGGGTCATTCTGTTCTCCTTTTCTACAACTCCCTTCTCCAATGGAGAGAAACCTGGTTCTCACTATTCTTACTATATTTACTAATTAGGTCAGTCCCCCGTAGTAATCTTCAATGAACAGACTACTACTACTGCAATGAATGGAATTGACCCTAAGAAAAACACTGAGATCCACAAAGGTAAATTGGTAAAGGACAGATGATCTTACAAAATATACAAAATGGCTAAACTTAAAGAAAGATACTGAACTTCACTCATAAAGGAAATGAAAATTATGCCAATGAGGTAATCATTCACCTATCAAATCAGCAAATTTTTTAAAAACTATACTCAGAGCTAGCTAAGCTGTGGTGACAAGCAATTTCCAACACTGGGAGTGAGTACTGCTTACTGACACATCTTCATAAGGAAAACAGTATGTATCAGGGACCCTCATAGAAGATCATACGCATTGAACCAACAAATCAATTTCAAAGAATCTCTTCTTAGTAATTACTCACACAACTGGAAAATGTTTTAGAAACAAAAGTGAGCAAAACTCTATTTTTAAGAAAAAAAAAAACAAAACAGAAAATGATCCTTATTCCCAACATTAGTCAAAGGATTATACAACCAGATGGGATATATTGTGTAGCCTATTAAAATACTTCTGAAGAATTAAATACAAAATGCTTACAATTTGAGAGGAAAAACAGGATATAAAGTTGCATATCTAGTATTACAGGCAAAAAAAAAAAAAAACTAAAAGGAAAAATGAAAATAATAGTTACATAGGTAATTGTTACCTTTTTTTATTACTTTTCTATATTTCCCAGTGTTCTATACTGAGCATGTTAGCTTTATCATGAAAGCCCCAAACTACCTAAATAGATTCTACATCAGGCACTTTGTGTAAAAACATACTGAGTAAGGTCTATTATATTTTATCTCTCTCAACTAGAGCAGTACAGCAGTGGGACTTGGGAGTCTACTTCTGGTCAGCCATGTGATCTCAGGCAAGGTAAGATCTCTTGGTTTGAATCTGAGGCCAAGGAGGCACATCCTGTCTGGGGACACAGCACACACTGGAGCCAGCATGGATAGGCTACCAGCACACCCACCCAGCTTGCTGCTGAAGATGTCCTGAAAATGTACATTCTGATGCTTGCCACACCCCAGAGGCTGCCATCTCACTATCTCCCTCAGCGTGGACCCCAGGCTCAGGCTGCCAAGCTCATGTTTCCTTGGCCATGACCCAAAGGGAAGCCTTCAGACAGGTGAGGGCACCAAGCCAAGCACACTGCTAGCCTCCCACAGCATTCGGAATCGTTTCACCTCTGAACTCACTAACTCAGACATGTCACACTCACATCTCAACTTCCTTCTGCTTAATTACTCCCATGACACCTCTTATCCAACTGTGGTTCATTTTGCTCTATCAGACTCACTCTGTAAATCTAACTGTTCGTTTTTAAAAACATTAGCACTTGTTCCTAAATTCCTCACCCTACTGTCCCTTCATGTCCAAGAAAGCCCTTATCCAGGACAAATCCAACTACCTGCTTTCCTGACACTTGGACCTGATCTGCTGGAAAGATTTTTAAAAAAAAAGAAAAATTCACACAGGACAGACCAATACCATTATAATTTACTGATGTTCAATCTCAATTGCACACCAAACCCTGTCCAGCTTACTATCAGGTTGTTTTCCACATCCCCACACAAGTATTTGAAATCCTTTTTACTCTCAGACATTTGATCCCTTGTTTTCAATCTACCTCTTCTTAAGCAAACCTCTTACTTTAGAAAAATCAGAAGCCATTAGGCAAGAGATCCCTCAACTTTCCATCATGACAAGCAGGTTTACCCTTATCTACGCCCATCCTGCCAGTCCAGGTGCCTTGTGCCACCAACTACCCCCTGTATCTTCATCCTTCCCTCTCCCCACTAACACCCAGGACGCTCTGGCAGCTCACCCAAAACAGGATTTATCTGCTCCGGGCAGCGTACTTCATGCTCATCTCATCTCCTCCTGACTTTACCCAGGGTCTGTCAGCCTTAGGAAAGCAAAGATCTGAACATTGCCACCACTGAACAGGAGCCACTCCCACTGTAATTTAATACAGCCCACCTTCAAGCCCGTTGGACAGAGGGGCAGGCAGACAGGAAGTGGTGTTTCCTTTCACTTTCCCGCCCATTAGCCTAATCTCCTTACTTGACAACTTAAACAAAACAAAAAAACATCTCCAAAGTTGAGCTCTTGGACAAAGGCCTCTTTCAATACACGTTTTATGGAAAAAGTAGGTTTCATTGAATATTTGCATATTTTAGAAGCAATTATTTATATCAGAGAGCTGAAAAGTACAGTAATAAAAATCAGTTTGGTGTCTCCCACTGTGAGCCTAGAACTAAATAAATAACACAAGGATAAAAAGTCCATTTTAAAAGCTGGTCCAGAAAAAGAATCTCTGGGATCTCCAGTAAAACTCCATTCTAAGCCCTACAGACAGTCTGCACTCCAGTCCAGGCCACCGCTGGGACGGTGTCAGGTATTACAGGTATTACCTTAGGATGGGCTCAAGATCAGGATGTCGCCGTTCTTCCCTTTTCAGTGAGCCCTGATTCAGGGCCCTTAAGATGGTCTTGTCAAAAGTCTCTGATGATAATTCCTTTGGGAGCTAGAAAAGAACAGCATGGCTAATGTTAAGTTTCTCCCTTACTTGTAAATACACTGCAAACCACACACATGAAAGGAAGATAAATGTCTCCTGCTCAGTAATCATCCAAAAGAAGTTCCTTTTCTAAATCTTCATGACATAGGGCCCCATACTGAGGAAGCACAGATTTTTCCACTAGGAAATACACCATCTGCCTTCTGGGCACAGCTGAGGCCTCCCCAGAGGGGCAGAATGACACAGCAACATTCAATATGCTTCTGGGACACGCCAGCAAACACCTAACACGCTGAGTTCCACACACCGCACTAAAATGACACCCACACCAAGGTTCTTTAGTCAAACAGAACATTTTGATAGCAGAGCTAGTATTATTTTTATCTTAAGTAGTATTCTGAGAAGTGTTATCTCTGCCTTTATAGTTATTTGTGTGCCTCTTGTTTTACATCTCAATCTCAGGCAACAGACTACCAGTGCTACGTACCATATAAAGAACTGGGTGTGAAAAGATGAAAACTCTCAATATTACTTACATAAAAAACGCTAAGATTTAGTAGCATTTTCCTCAGTGATAGAGGTGCCCTCAGAGCAATGTATAAAAACTGCAAAAAAAATCATCACTTGGCCAAGAAAATTTTTAAATTAAAAACAAAATATTAAGTCATTTATTAACTAGTTTACTTTTTAAAATTCCTAATAAGTTGATTCTTTATAAAACTAACTTTCCAAGTCTCACAAGAAGCCGAAGTTTTAAATAGGACTTTTAAATCTGAAAACCAGTCTTTCCATGAACTCTTGGAATTATTGGCACTTTCACTAAAATTAAAAGTAGAACCATTAACACAGTATCTAAATAGCCATAGGAATATAACAATCTATACAAATTGTCATCTTACATATTGATCTTCAATTGGAGAATCTAAAGTAAGTATTCTTTTGACAAATCATCATTTTGAATCAATTCAGAAATGGAAAATTTAACAAAGATATCATAAAGTACTAATAATTTTAGGCACAGTAAGACTATGGACTCAAGATGTTACATGAGAATGAAGCTCTTCCTCTCTTATTAGCCTGATAAGGTGGAAAGCTCTGCTGGCATTCTACACACTCACTGTGGGAATCGTGTCCTCTGACTTCTAACAGGAAGCAGTAAGTTCTGGATCTACACGTTTTCCTTAGAAATGATATTCATTTCACTAATTACACTTTGATATCATTTTAATACAGATTTTGGACACTAGGCATATATATTACCATTTTAAACATGATTTCTCCTGAGTATCTGTACACAAAGAAAACCTGCTTCGGTGAAGAAGTCTATTTCCACTACCGAATCACTGACGGCTCTTCTAAACACAGAAAGGTGAGAGTATAGTTGACCTTTGAACAACATGGGGGTTAAGGGGTGCTGATAACTGTGTGCAGTCGGAATCCATGTATAACTTTTGACTCCCCCAAATAAGAGCCTACTGTTAATCGGAAACCTTACTGACGATAATCAATTAACACATATTTTGTGTGTTACATGTACTATGTACTATGATGGCCAACAAAGCTAGAGAAAATGTTATTAGGAAAATCATACCAGAAAATACATTTACAGTACTGTATTGATTGAAAAAATTCATGTTTAAGTGGATCCACACAGCTTAAACTCATGCATTTCAAGGGTCTACTGTGCATGCATTTTCATCCCATCATTGTCCACATGACTGGGAGGAGTGTTATAGGCAGGGAGTCATCAGTATTTGCAAACTGAGTTATTTTCAAGCGGTTTTTATCTTTGATTTTCAGGACTATTTCCAGTCCAGAGGAAGGCACGTCTTCTATTCTAGTCCCTCTTGAATTTTTTCACCTCTCAGTCTTGGTTCGGATACCCAGCCTCCCATCTCTGGCCCTGGCCCTGGCCCAGCCTCAGCACAAACTCAGAGTTGCTGGAAGGCACCTAAACCTTACTTTTAAGAACACTATGGCCTCATGGACAACCATCTATGAAACCTCACTACACTTTAGTTTCTGTTACTCTTCTCGTTCACTTGCTCATTCATTCAGTCAACAAAGATTCAGGCCCCAGCCCTGTTCTAGGCACTGTGGATATAGCAGTGAAAGAAGAAACAAAACCCTGCCTCCACGGAGAAGGGTAATGAGACAGACCGTGTCAGCAGGGGAGGGAGGCCAGGATGAGGACAGAGGCTGCCATTTACATAGGAAAAAGGATTGGACAGCATTGACTTCAAACTCACTCTTCCACATTATAGCAAACAGTGCAGTTAGCATCAACAAAAGTTAAAGGTTGTTAGTATGCACAGGTTGTCAAAAGGACAGCTTTTGCTCTTAACTTTTGTAGATTATTTGAAAAGGAAGGTAAACAGGAAAAAAGATACATGGTAAACTTGAGAAGATTTTATAATAAGCAATTCATTTCTAGATGTACATAATGTTGTCGATGACTTCATACAACTTGATGAGGCATCTGTCCTATTTTAGAAAATACTCAACTATATTCAAATATTGGCTAAGTGGGGGGATCATTAATTACCATGATTCTGAAGAGTGAATTATTTATTTGGGGGCTGTGCTTCTTTTTTAAAGCACCTGAGCTTTTAGAAGAATTGTGTGACTTATAAAATGAAATCCATCAAGACAAACCACAGCAAACGCTTAGGGAAATCCAATAAGAAAGATAAACTCTCCCCAGGTGCCAGGCCCCAGGCTGTGGCTTGGTCACATGCCCTACTGGTGCAGGGGACAGGTAGGTAGCATACCACCCAAACGCACAGAGTAACTGGCCTTGGCAGGTAGCAGCACTGGACCCCACTGTGCCCAGCTCTAAACTGCAAGACATTTCAGCCTTGGCTCTGTATGCATGGCAGCTAACCCTCCAGCATGAGAATTCTGCCATAGGAAGAGCAAAAGAAAGGGAAATGAAGCATGCTGCTCTCTGACCCAAATGAAGCCTGTTCAAGATTACTTGCTCTTAAACTTCGATAAATTTGTTCTATCAAGAGATAGAAGAGTCAGAAATGAGTAGAAGCGATTTTGTAAGTGCACATATGGGGTGGTGTGTGGCAACCCTTCAGAATTTCTTCAGCTAGCAGAAAAATTGCACAGGGGCTAGCTCCCCCTTCGGGGTGCTGATGACCCTCTTCCCTGGACAACAGTGCTCACACCCCTTTCTTCCACCACTCTCTTTCTCACATGCTATCTAAAGCATGCTGTGTGCATGGCCTTTGGCAAGTGGAAAGTAATGACCACCCCCAAACCTGCCCCCTATTCGTGCAGCTAGGTACTAAGCTTGAAGTGGGTGAAGGAGTCCCCGGCCCTCACTGAAACAGAGCCTAGCTGAAAACAAGCCGCAGAAAAATGAAAATGTTCAAGTTGTTCCTATGTTTTTACCCAGCAAAACAAATACTGTGACAGTACATTGACCTAGATGCTCCTCAGAGCCAGCATCTCCCATGCTGTCCAAAGCTCTGCAGGCTGGTGACAAGTCTCTTTTACAGCTTTAAGAATGAATAGAGACTCACGTGATCTGAAAAAATCTATTTACGGTAACACACAGACACCTTAAAAACCAGCACTGTCCTGAAAATTTCAGGTGTTACAGGTTCAATAACTGTGTCACAACTTGTACCCAAAAGTTCATAAATGACTTGGAAATGTTTCCTGTTTCTGGACCTTCTGCTTTATCTCCCTATTAGCAATAAATTCTAAAATATTTGCTTACTGAGAAATAGTAATTTATTCGTTAATCATTTAAGCCTACTCCCTCCTTTTAATGCTCATCTCTACCCATAGCTTTCCAGTAAAATATTAGTATACAAGAAATAGGCAAGAGTTTGAACAAAATGATCTAAGACATCTTTCACTCTTCAAGTCTGCATAAGATGTTCCATTATCCCTCAGTCTCAGTACTATGGAGAATCTACCACTGGGGGAAGCAGAAAGGGAGCTGGAACTCAAAGATGTAACCAGTGGAGATGTATGAAAGGAAGACCTCAGAGGGGCCGAAGAGCAGTGAAGTGGGAGAACCACCACCCATGCAAACAAGCTGCAGCTCACCTGCAGAGGCATCTTTCAGGGGAGGCACCCTTGCAAACAGCCACCAAAACACATTGCAGCAAGGAACTAAGAATAAGAGTACTTTTTCTTAAATTTGGAAAACCTTCATTTCCTTATATTGGTAATGTAATGTAAGAAAAATTTGATTTAGAATAACATGACATTTTCTACAGCTAATATTCTTGGAGAGTTCTAAGTCAACCTTTATCTGTGAATTTTAATTTTCCTGGTGTTTCATATTCAGATTTTTGGATTCTGTGTATTATGTAAAAATCATCTTAACAAAATCTATACTTTTACCTTCAGTAGAAATTCCTGTAGTTCTTGGTGGGTTTTTGTTACTGTTGTGACTGAAAGATCAGACCAATTTACCTGATTTAAAAAAAACACAAATACAATATGGTTATTACTTTAGGTGGGAACAGGATGGAAAAAAAGCTATGTGTAAACCAAATAGACTTGCTTAAATTAAATTTTATTAAGATTAACAAGCACAAACATAAAGTTAATCATAATTTCTTCAACACTGTTAAAATTACCTGTACATTGACAAATTCTACTTTAAAAAATTTTAAGTAACCCTCTCAAATTGCATGCTTGTTTTTTTTTAAAAGCAGTCCTTTAAAAAGTGACTGTATTTTAGAAATTTTTCAGAAAGGGAAATATCTTACATTTCTTTTTGTGAAGTTGCAGGACTCTTAAATGACGTTTTGACAGTACAGATCTATGCCCCATGAAAGATAAAACTTCTATCTCCTGGAACTTATTAAATATACATTCTTAAGAGAAATAACTAGAGGTTACTGCCTCTCCTCAGGAGTACCATATTGTACTTTTATGGAGATTTATGGTTTATGAAGAGATTTCATCTTTAACTCAATTCTTTAAAATCCTATCAAGGTGGATGGGGCAAGTATGACTGTCTCTATTTTCAGATGGAGAAATTAAAACTGAAAGAGGCTTCTTAGAGATTCAACCCTAAGTAGGGGGAAGAGCCAGACCTGAAATCTATTATGCTGCCTCACCTCCTAGATACTTTTAATTCAGTGGATTCAATGGTGGCCCACCTATCATTTCTACTTTATAATTATTTGGACTAAGTAAATGAACTCTGCTAATACCTAAGCCTTACCAATAAATCATATCATAATTAATCAGATACTTAAAATATATACAAAATTTTATCTAGCAACCTTCAAAGCAAATATCACATTTGGCATACGCTTTAAATGATTTATAATTATTCAAATGTCTATTTAGCAGCTACTTATGTCAAACTGTACTGTTCTCCATGAAAGGAATGCCAGAGTGAACAAGACAGCCGAAGTCTGATGGCTGAGGTCAGAGTCTAGAGCAGGAGACAGAGTAAAGTGAGTGAATATATAAGGGTTCCCATCAGTGCTCAGTGCCCCAAAGAAATGAGTAGGGCATGGTGCAGAAACAGGGAGAAGCACATTAGACAAGTGCCAATAAAGACCTCAGAGGAGGGAGCATTTGAGCCAGTCTCTGGGTTGAAGAAATGTCAACTGCCATGGTCCAGGGGAAGACAGCTCCAGAGCTAAGGGGCAATCAACCAGGGCCTTAAGGAAGGGACAAACTAAGAGCTCCAGCAACAGAAGGAGAGAGCAGGTGTAACTGAATGCAGATAGCAGGACTGACTTCTGCCACACATCATAAAACTGTTAAGTGAAAACATGCAGAGATAAGGACTTAAAATCTGCAAACTGAGGATGTTACTTCCATAAAGCAAATGCCAGAGGTCTGAAATTCATTCAATAAATGTACTGAGCAAGTCAGATATGTTGGGATTACAGGGGATGAAGACTCCTGTTCTCCATGAAAAAATACACCTACTGAAAGAAAATACATGTAATCCAAATAAGAGAGTTTGTGAAAGGTATGATGATACCTTGGATGAATGAAAGCACATTCTGCTCCATACCAGAAATGACTTTGTGGCAAAGGCACAGCTAACGTCTCACAAGCTGTACCTTTGGGGAGGAACTAAAGTGAGGAAGCACAGAAACATGGCATCCTTCCATTTGGCTTCAAGGCACATGCAGTCCAATGTTAGGAGAAAGGGCTAGACAGGGAAGCCCTAGCAGACTGGAGTAAGGAAGACACGCACGAGGAATTTACACTATAGTCAACAGGCAAAATGGAGACACGGGGAGTAACAGAGCTGGGCTCTGGAGTTAATTAGACAGCTGTTTGAAGGACAGAGTGAATGACAGGAGAACAATTACAGTAAGACAAGGCAACAAAGGCCAGGGAATAAAACCTTGGTGGAAAAAGAAGGGGAGAAGAAAAATGTAAGGAAAAACGATGCCAGGAAAAGACAAGCCCTGTGATCTTGATTTTTCAAATGCTGGAGAAAATATTTACCCTTTATTTTTTTAAAGATGCTTCAAATACCTTAAATCTAAGGCTTTTATTTATTTTCAATAAAACTGTCCATAAGATGGAGTAATTTTAATGTGATATAATTTTAAGAACTTGACAAACCATGCAGTAACAGTACCTTCCCTTAAGACAAACACATACATATGTATAGCTTCTCTTAAATTACCAAACCTGCCATAAGATTTTCCAAAGGTCACTTTTCACTCTTTCCAAAAGATCATTTAACACAGTACGTAAGGTAGCTTTTGTGGGTGAGAGCAGCTTACTTTGAAGGTGTACTCCCAATATTTGTCAGCCCTTTTTCTCTGGACTCCTTTCAACATTATCTTCTCAATGTGCACAGCTGCAAGAAAGAAAACATGCTGACTTGTTCTACAGAGACTAGAACACATTTCAGTTACCCAATTTGACAAATGCTTATCGATTAAGCTATTTATCTTCATCTTTACTACTGGCCTTAAATCATCAACAAAAACCCCCCGAAGCACAGCAATGTGCCATCCATCCCTGAGGTAATTTTTTCTATTTCCATTCAGCATGCTGCCTGCCTAAAGAGTGTCAAGCATTATTGCTATGCACCAAAGAGAAATAATAAATGGTGCCCACAGTAAAGGTTATTTTTCTAGATGATAGTCTTCAAAACTGTTATTCAGACTACCACAAATACAGCACTTCAGATTCATTCAATTATTTATGCACAGTAGGTGCAAACTAGAAAATACCTAGTTTTTTAGTTGGGAAAAAACCCCTCAACAGGAATATATGAAACTGATAAAAATTTCTTTCCAATTGGGAAATTAAAAATTGTTTTTCTCAAATGCAATCCTTAGTTTCACATAATGGTAACACAAACTTAACATTATAATGAACTATGAAGGCTCATTGTGCAAAATGTTTAACAATTTATTATAGACATAAAATAGTCATAAATTCCACTGGTGACTTAAAGAGTAATTACTCTGAATTGTTACTAATACTTATTAATGAAGGAAGCAAATGTGCAAATCCCCAAACTACTCAGGTTACACCTTCTTAATAAAACTATCACCTGAGTATATAAATCTATGAATTGAAAAGAGCTAGTCTACTAAACATAAGGACTTAAAAAAAAAAACTGTTGCTCAGGGTATAAAAAGAAGAAATAGCCCTTAATAATGAGAATGGTAATAAATGAAGATGATAAAGGTCATCACAGGGAAGAAGTCAGGAAAGTGACTGAAAAGACTAGGGTCACTGTTGTATTTAGGAGACAGGAGATGGAGAAAAAAAGGGAAGGATTCACTTTGACTTAGAGGAAGAAGTTAAAACAGATGAAGTAGAATATACAAAGTAACAAAAGTAACTGAAAGAATTAAGATTGTTATGATCAGGGAAGGTGGGCAATGAGAAGGCAAGAAGAGTAAGATATAGAAATATGCTGGTATACACATTCATAATAAACTAGGGAGCTACCATGACCCATATATTGTGCCAGCTTTCCAAATATACAGTGTTTCATGGCTTCTGTTTGGGCCAATTTCCCTTATTGGGTGAATAATGTTGAAGACAGAGACAAAAGAAAATCTGAAAAGCCAGGTGAGAAGCCTTAACTCCTCAGAAATGCTGCACTTTGGTAAAGACCAGATGGGGAAGGTAGTGGTTGCTATCCCCAAAGCTTTTCTAGTAGGTTTATGTAAAGGATGATGGTATTACATGAAAATCATCCGAACTAGTCTACTTCAGCAAATCAGTGCACCAAGGGCAGGGCACCACGAGGACACTGGAGGTCAGGGGATGTCTTCAGCCTTGATTTCAAGTATACCTGCCATGATCTCTCAGAATCAGGATAAGTAAGACAAAGACGACTGCTGAGGAATGGCTGATGACAGGAGACCCTCCAGCCCTCATGAATTAAAACCGAAAAGCATGGATCACCTAATTCGTCTGAAAATTAAGAATGTAAGAAAACCACTTATAGTACCACCTTACAGTTAATTGTTAGCATTGTGATTTAGTCTTTATGTTTTCCTAAAATTTTTTTCTTTATTTTTTGTTAAAGTACCTCCATTGTAAAACCAAGCTCTGCTTCAGGTTACCCAAATGTCCTGTGAGCTTGAAGCAGTCTTTGATTGAACTAATTTAATTTTAATAGCCTTGAATAGACGTGGTAATTATGTAAACTTTCTAAAACATTAAACAGTCATATCTATTTTTCCTGTATTACACAAAAAGGATTATTATAAGTACTAAAATGAGACAAAATGACATCACTGCAAGGCTGTTATAACTGAGTGTGATGCTTATTGTATATCTTCACGCTTCCAAGGCTGCCTACACACAGTCCAGTCTGCTTCAATTTTCCCTTGACACAGGTGAATGGATCCTCCAAATGCTAAGAGAGTATCTGAGCTCACTTCTTTTCAGATGGCAATGTCCTTTCATTCCCCCCATCCCAGGCCCCCTGAAAGTTGCATTACTGCAGGAAGCATGGACTTGTATGAAATTTTTTTGCTCTTACAGTGAACTTGTGTAAAATTTATTGTTTCATAGGTGCTCAGCACATTCCACAGATAAAGCACTATACTAAATACTTTGGGAACTTACTAAGGTCTTTCCCCTCTAGAAGTGCACAATCAGATTTAAGACAACTGACTATAAGGCAGAACCAAGTAAGAAAGGCACTAGGACAGGCCAAGTGCTGTAGAGCAGGAGCCCAGACACAGACCCGAAGTGGGAGGACTGGCATTTGAGCCAAACCTAGGGCAAGTAGATTACTCTACTCCAAAAAGGAGAAAGAAGCCTTAGGGGTAACCAGTGTGAATAGCACTATGAACTCTTTCTGTGTATAGATGCTTGAAGTTTACAGAAAACAAAGCATACCTTCTCGCTGGGTTCTATGAGGTGCCACAGTAAGTCCGTCATGAGGTGCTGGAGCTTGTTCTATTAAAGTGGCCTCGTTACTTTGCATGTAATCACTGTGAGCAGAGTCATTCTAGATGAGAAAGAGGGGCACATGTTAACCTACACCATAGACTAAGAATAGTGAATTCCATAAAAACAAGCCAGATTAAAGTCTTATACTTTTAACAGCAACTATTTTAGTAGTGATTTTTAAAGATTCAAACAGGTGGTTACACATTATGGGCAGAAAAGCACAAAGGGAGCAGTAAGGACAAGAAGAAATGTCGATATTTATCTTCAACAGCAATATTCATTCTACATATCATTTACTGTCTCAGCCTTCTTGGGACATGTTGTATATTACTAGTAAGAATTGCCAAGAATGTAATTCTATACCCCGGTGAACCAGTATCGAAGGAACACATGAAATACGGTACCCTTCATACTAATTTCCCATATGTAAGTGCAACATTAATTATCCAATTTTCATTTATTATTTAAGTGATAAGCTAGCAAGATGCTTTGTTGGAAAAAAGTTTTATGAAAGGTATCAATACATGCTAACTCTTTCTCGAAAACACATGTATGGACACTGAATTTACTATTAATGTGAAACCATGTAATAGCAGCTGGGTGCTCTCTCTCTAAAGGAATTTGCTCAGCAAATAATCGATGTCATCGTGAACTGGCCTAAGGTTTACTCCTAGGAAAACTGCTACTCAGAAACAGAGATTGTCTACCTACCCAGAACCACTTAATGAGAAGGAAAGCACAGAACTCTTAAGTCAAAATTCAGTTTCCCTAACATTTAGCATGAAGGCACTCATCAAATTTCAATACTATTGATTTTTAAAAGGAATTCTTCTAACAACAAAATCATGTATATCCCAACCAAGACCATATAATCATTTACTACAAAGTAGTAAAACCACACTGGCCTAAAACTGCTGTGAGTACTTGAACACTCAATATAAATAAAGCATTGTAATCCTCTCAAATACTTAACTGGAAGTTTAGTTGAATTAGGTCAACTATTTGCCACAGAATATTTTTCTACATTGCTCATATGTGGTTCGTAACTTAAAATTAACACAAACCTTCAAATATAAATGAATGCAAATACGCAAAAACAAATAGGTTTCATTAGGGAAATGAAAATCCAAACCACAATGAAATACCACTGCACACCCATTAAATGGCTTATAGCCAAACAGAAAACAAGCACTGGTGAGGATGGGGATACTTTGGAACTCCTGTGCATTGCTGGCATGAATATAAAATAGTGCAGCCATTGCAGAGGACAGCACAGCAGTCCCTCAAAAAACTAAGCATACAATTACTGTATGACCCAGCAAATCCAATCCTAGGTATATCCTCAAAAGAACTGAAAGCAGGGACTGTCTGTCTCCAGTGTCCTTAGCACCATTATTCAGAAGAGCCAAAAGGTAGAAAACACTCAAATGTCCACTGTCAGATGAACAGATCAACAAAATATGGAATATATACACAACTGAGTATTAGCCTTAAAAAGGAATAAAATTCTGATACCTACTGTAACATGGATGAATCTTGAGGACATTATGCTAAATAAAATCAGGCACAAAAGGACAAATATTGTATAATTCCACTTATATGAAGTCCCTCAAATAGTCAAATTCACAGAGACAGAAAGTATAGTAGTGGTTACCGGGGGTGAATAGAAGGGAAATAGGGGTATTTGCTCAATGGGTAAAGGCTCAGTTTGGGATAAAAGTTCTGTAAATGATGGTGGTGATGGCTGTACAACAATGTGAATGTACTTAAATGCCACTGAATTTTACTCTCAAAAAGGGTTAAAGCAGCAAATTCTGCATTATGTATATTTTACAATAAAAAGCAAAAATTAAAAAAAATAATTTTATCATGCTGCCTCCACAAATACTATATTGAAGTAACCACAAGAAAGTAGCTTGCTTCACAATCAAAATGACATTTTAAAAGTCTGAAGTTACTTTTAAAACACAACTTCGCAACCAAGAATAAGCCTCCTGTTTAATAACCTAGGGACAAAAATAGACCAAGTTTCTATCCAAGGACTTAAGTTCATCAACCCTTGAAATATCTACTAAGTCTCAGCTTGTATCAATGTTATAAAATCATTAAGACTAGTTTGGAAACTATTTATAAAATTCAAATTTTATTAACTTAATAAAAATTTATTCTACAGGGGTGGAGCCAAGATGGCGGCATGAGTAGAGCAGTAGAAATCGTCTCCCAAAAACATATATATTTTTGAAAATACAACAAATACAACTATCCCTAAAAGAGAGACCAGAAGACACAGGACAACAGCCAGACTACATCCACACCTGCGAGAACCCAGCACCTCGCAAAGGGGGTAGGATACAAGCCACGGCCTGGTGCGACCCGAGGCCCTCACCCCAGCTCCCAGCGGGAGGAGAGGAGTCAGAGCACGGAGGGAGAGGGAGCCCAGGACTACTAAACACCCAGCCCTAGCCATCCGCACTGGAGCTCAGACACACAGTGCATGGGGTGCTGGATACTAGGGAAATAGGACAGTAAGACCTGTGAGTGGGTCCCCACAACCGGTGCCCCTGGGACAAAGAAAAGCAAGTGCCCTTTGAAAGTCTTAAAGGGACAGGGACCCCACTGCTGGACGGAAGCACCCAGGCTCAATCAGCTCAGTAGCTGGGAACCCGGGGAACTCCGGGCACCCTAACCCCCTGGGCGGCGGCGCAGCTCCGAGACCCCTCACAGAGATAAACAGCCTCCTGCCGGTTCCCGCTCTGGCACAAACTTGCCATAGAGGAGCCCACAGCAAACGCGTGCTCGGAGCTTCCTTCACAGCGGCCAGGCAAGAATCAGAGACCCCATCTGCGCGCAGCTGCCCAGCACAAGCCACTAGAGGTCGCTGTTCTCCCAGGGGAGGAAGGCCACAAACTAGCAAGAAGGGACGTTCTTCCAGCTGACACATGCCAACTACCCATGACTATCTCTATCGCCATGAAAAGGCAGAAGAATTTGATACAGACAAGATTAACCCAGACAGTCTCCCCTGAAAAGGAATCTGGGGAGACAGACCTAACCAATCTTCCTGAAAAAGAATTTAAAAGTAAGGTCATAACCATGCTGATGGACTTGCAGAGAAATATGTAAGAGCTAAGGAGGGAGAATACAGAAATAAAACAATCTCTGGAAGGATTTAAAAGCAGAATGGATGAGATGCAAGAGGCCATTGATGGATTGGAAACCAGAAAACAGGAACACATAGAAGCTGACACCGAGAGAGATAAAAGGATCTCCAGGATTGAAACAACATTAAGAGAACTGTCTGACCACTCCAAAAGGAGCAATATCTGCATTATAGGGGTACCAGAAGAAGAAGAGAGAGGAAAAAGGGATGGAAAGTGTATTTGAAGAAATAATTGCTGAAAAATTCCCCAAACTGGGGGAGGAAATAGTCGCTCAGACCACAGAAACACACAGAACCCCCAATAGAAGGGACCCAAAGAAGACAACAAGGACAACACCAAGACACATAGTAATTAAAATGGCAAAGCTCAAGGAAAAGAACAGAATTTTAAAGGCAGCTAAAGAAAAGAAAAAGGTCACCTACAAAGGAAAACCCATCAGGCTATCATCAGACTTCTCAACAGAAGCCTTACAGGCCAGAAGAGAATGGCATGATATAGTTAATGCAATGAAACAGAAGGGCCTTGAACCAAGAATACTGTATCCAGCACAATTATCATTTAAATATGAAGGAGGGATTAAACAATTCCCACAAAAGCAAAAGTTGTGCCTCCCACAAACCACCTCTACAGGGTATGTTAGAGGGACTGCTCTAGATGGGAGCACTCCTAAGGCTAAATAGATGTCACCAGAGAAAATAAAATCACAGCAAAGAAAGCAGACCAACCAAATACTAACTAAAGCCAAAAAATAAAATCAACTACCCCCCACAAAAGCAGTAAAAGAAAACACAAAAGAGCACAGAATAAAACACCCAACATATAAGGAATGGAGGAGGAGGAATAAGAAGGGAGAGAAATAAAGAATCATCAGACAGTGTTTATAATAGCTCAATAAGTGAGTTAAGTTAGACAGTAAGACAGTAAAGAAGCTAACCTTGAACCTTTGGTAACCATGAATCTAAAGCCTGCAATGGCAATAAGTACATATCTTTCAATAATCACCCTAAATGTAAATGGACTGAATGCACCAATCAAAAGACACAGAGTAACAGAATGGATAAAAAAGCAAGACACATCCATATGCTGCCTACAAGAGATTCATCTCAAACCCAAAGACATGCACAGACTAAAAGTCAAGGGATGGAAAAAGATATTTCATGCAAACAAGGAGAAAAAAGCAGGTGTTGCAGTACTAGTATCAGACAAAATAGACTTCAAAACAAAGTAACAAGAGATAAAGAAGGACATTACATAATGATAAGGGGGTCAGTCCAACAAGAGGATATAACCATT